ATTAAATAAAGTAATCTAATAAAAGCGACGAGAATTATCGAACAGAAAAAAGTGGTGTTCGATCATGAAAATGTCAAACCACACACAACCTTGATTCCTTAATTTGTTTGCCGGAACTTGTTTGGGAATTTTTGGTGAATACGGTGGATCTGGTGGATAGACCTCATAAGTTAAAAAATTGAACTACCGAAAAACCGTGGAAAATCTCTTGGCCAAGTTTTCGCAGACGAAGCAAAAAAGTTCTATACCGATGAAATGCAACCCAATAGCAAGAAATAAAAAACTTGCAAAGTTTGCAAGAATTGGAAGACTTACTTTCAGACTCCTGCGCCACGCTCTTTTTTATGTATTATATAGTATATTGATTTACATATTTATTATCATACATTAAATTTATATTTTTGGATGTATGAAAAATATAAATTAAATTTAAAATAGGGCATAGGGCATAGCAAGAAAGAATCTTGAATATTACGCTCATTTCAAACCTTAGTAAAATACTTACAATAGTACTGTATTTCAAAAACCATTGAACATTCCTAATAGCTTGTAGAATAAAGTAATTACGAAATAGCATCTAAATTTAAAGAAAAAATAATGGCAAAGAAGAAACGATTGTTTAGTTATGAACATATTGATGAACCCATACAATCTGTTAAAATGCTAGATGCAATGATAGATGCTATCATAATTGATACCGACTGTCGATTCAAACCACTTAATGGATATTTTGAACAATTTGGTTTCATATATGGCATTAATCATATGAAAAGTATACCAAATGAAGGCCTTTTCAAGCAATAATTTAGTGAAACTATGTCGGAATGTTTGTATAGTAACCAGAATCATGCTCACAGTTCCACTCAGTACAAAATACCAGCTGGTATAAATTATAAAATAATTTTAAAAAAATCGGTGAATCTTTAAGTAGGAAAACTCATTTATTTTAATTTGTGTTTATTTTAGCAATAAAACTTTCATACATGCTTCGTCGTATTAGTGAATGTAAATTATTTACAATTATAACTCGGTAATGACGGGGCCTCTCAATTCTGATGGTGCCGACGTCCAGAGTTAGTTTATATCAGCCGCTGATTGCTGGTTGTTGTTTTAGAAATTGCCAAAAGTGCAATTGATCCGTCAGTGATCTATGAAAGCCGTAATGTTTTCTTTTAGTTGTAAAAAACAGCTGCACCAGCTCCGAATGTTTTAAGAGCATTGTTTTTGCTTCAATTATTTTCTTTCGTAATTTGCAAGAAAATCAAAAATTCTTCTCAAACCAAAAATCGGATCATTAATTCTCATTCGTCACAAACATTTGCTCAAACAGTGAAGTCGGGCATCAGTAACCCAACACAGCACAAGCTTTCACCAATGCCAAATAATTATGTGGAAAAACTCCTTGAGAAGAACACGCTCGTAGTAATGACCAATTTACTGATCAACTTGACGTCTAAACAAAATTCTTAATTTAGTCGTAGTCATATGGAATCCGAATGGCCTATCAAAACATGCTGTTGAAATAAAAGCATTCTTAAAATAAACCAGGTCTGCGTAATGCTGGTATGAGAAACCCATTTTAGGACGAGAAGTTTCTTTAAAATTTTGCACTACAAACTTTATCACACAATGCATCCAAATGATAAAGCGAATTGGAGCTCAGGGGTTCTAATAAGAAAATCGGTAAATCATTCTGAAATAAAACTATATTGCATGAATGAAATTCAGACTATAAATATGGCACTACACTCTAAAGCAAGTAACATGACTTTCTCATCACTCTACAGTCCATCACGTCACAGTATCTCGAAGAAAATGTACGTATCAGTTTTTCAGTGGCTTAGATCTAGGTTTCTAGTAGAAGGAGATTTCATAGTCAAACCCTTAAAATTGGGTTATCTCCAACAGGACGTCAACTTCTCGAAGCAATTCATTTACTCAATCACCACACAATCTCAACAGGTAACGAATAGAAACAAAAATACCTGACTTAATTGAATTTGCATTATCGATGGCGGTATACAACTGGTCGAAATACCGAAGTCCGGTTGAAAACTGAAACTGATGTAGGTGAAGCCGTAAAACATTTCAACTCAAATATCAAATGTCAGCATGGGAATCAACTCCACCGTGTTCTAAAATTAGCAAGCAAGAATATCCTTTTAACATTAAATAACTAATCAAAGAAAAAGTTAAAATGAGAAAACGTTGACAGAGGACGAGACTCCCTGTAAATAAAACTCGCTTAAACAATTTATGTAAACTCGCTAAAGTCCTTTTTTATAAAGTACAGCAATAGTCGCACGTCCCTGTACCTCCAAAAGCTAAGTGCTTTAAGTGATAAAAACTCCTCCATCTGAAAGGCCATAAAAAATAATAACACATCTTTCGCTTGTCAACTACCTATGCGCAAGACCTACAACTCCTGGCCAAGAAGCGACATTGAAAAGGTAGAAACAATCGCGTTACATCTAGATCAGATCTTTAAACCGAACGATAACCAAAATGTGACATATATCATGAAACAAAGAATAAATTTTCTACAAGAGCTTTACCAATTAGTACAATAGAACAAACTCATAGACTTGTGAGACATATTCATAGCTCGATAGATGAAAAGAAATATTACACTGCGGCATTTATAGATATTTCACAAACATTTGATTGAGTCCGGCATGACGGCCTTTTGTTTAAACTAAAACTAAATCCACCCCTCAATTTTTTCATATTTATTAAATCGCAGCTATCAGCAAGGCACTTTTTCATTAAGCATGGTAATCAAGTCACAGAACTTCATGATATATGAGCAGGAGTACCTCAAGGTAACATAAGTGGACCAATGCTTTATCTTTTATGTACTTCGGATCTTCTCGTTACCTCTGAGAGTGTAATTGGTACATTTGCAAACGACACAGCTGTTTTATTAGTGACCCAATCCATACTTCCACCAAACTACAAACCTGCTTTATCAATGTTGCGCCCTGGATGGAAAATTACCGTATGCAATCAAATTAATCAAAATCGGTCCAAGTAACATTTACTACAACACATTCTACTTGTCGGACTGCTTTAGTACACAATATCCAATTACCAAAAGCTGTAGAAATAAAATAATTGCAAATACATCTGGATAGTAAACTAACCTGGAAAACACATATATTCAGTAAGCGTAAAGCGTCAAAACTCCAAACTGTGACTCGATAATAAGCTGCTAATATACAAAACTTCACTAAAACCTATTTGAAATTATGGAGCTCAATTATGACGTATTTCAACAGACTCAAACTTGGCAATTATCCATTTGTGATTATAATCACAAATACACCTTGGCATATAACAAATCAACAGCTGCATAAACAACTACATATTCCGATAATCATGAAAGAACTATCGCGAATTATAAAGAACTACGCTCATTGCAAATTTAGGCACTCCAACCCAGTGGTTACACATCTGATGTCCCCTTCCAACACTTTTACAAGGCTGAGAAGAAAAATTTCAATCGACGTCTTAGATATGTATATGTGAGTGAAATATTTATATTTTAGGTATATATGGATATATCACTGGGCATAATCCATACGCGCCTTTCTTTTCTTAGCTCGTAGTAAATATTACTTATTGTCATTCATACTTGATAGATTGTAATAAAAAAAATGGATTAAAAAAAAAGTTGGGAGTATGTTTTCGCTACTCTAAAAGAAAAAATTACTGGTATTATTATTTGTAATAATCATTTTAGATCGTTTACATTCTGCAATTGGAGCCGGACCAAAGAAATGCTCTTTGCAATTTCATCCAACTCTCCGTTGGATATGAACTAATCTGTGACAGTCAACAAAGACACGTTTTCAAATAAATCCTACCGCCTGTTTGTCACTGACAGCAATACGTAATTCAAGTTTCTTACCGCGACAAAGGTTGATTTCTGTATACTACCCGCGCGTTATCTTAGAAGCGATAAGTTGCTACCATCATCATGATTACTGCAATCGTTTTGCTATTCCGATTAACGGAAACAGGTTACTATTGCTAAATTTGGCCATAAATTGATCAATCTTTAATTAATTTAAATTTAATTGGAATTTTGTAATCGCCATTGTGTTGGAACCAATAGTAGGTCTTATGTGCATATGGTTCCACAACTGCAAGAATACGGTTTAAAATCAAGCGAAATGTGCATTTACTCAAGAGAAAAAAGGTTTCTTGACCATTATAATAATCGTAAATTAAACATACATATAAACCAGTAAACTAACAAATAAATTAGTATACAACAGTAAAACTAAATGTTTGAAATTCTTCACAGACTGTCATCATCAGTAATTCTAACAGCTAAATCTATTGTTTTCATTTCTTTTCTAAAAAAGTCATTAACTTATTTTCAAAACAATTTAACGTGCGATTCACTTTATAATTACAAAAATAACTTGATCCATTTTTTACTGATTTGAAGAAATTTTTAGAGTACTTGTAAACTTACCTGTAAATACTGATCTGAACCTCATTCAGTTTAAAAGAAAATGAAATGTATATAATATGTATATGTTTATTATACATATTTATATGTAGGTAAAATATGTGTTTAGTACAATTAATAAGGCCGTTAATATTTGAAAAGGTTTTTTAAAATTTTATTATAATAATTATTACATTTTACAATTTATTTACAAATGTTTTAAGGCTAAATCATAAATACACATTATTAATTAAAACCATACAAATTATTATATGTAAATGTGCATGTGCTTTATACAAATAAATAACTTCATTAAAAATCGAAGCTACATATCTTAATTTACACAGAGAAGAATAGAACAGTGAATATACATACCGATAAAATTAAGTTATATGTACAGCTTAAAACTACATTTTATGTTATGTAAGTATAAATATGTAAGTGGGTTTAAAAAATCATTTATATATAGGGTTAAGTCCGATTTAATATATCAGCCAGCTGCGTGCACTTTAGATATACATATTCTTTATATGCATATTAACTGCGCCTCGAAAAGATCCGTGTCGATTTTTCTTGAAATAAATCAATAAAATATCAATTAAATATATGTGTATATGTGTACTGTATCTGTAAAAATAATAAAACAGAGAAATAAATAGTTTGCATATTTTAAACTTCATTTTATTTTCTATATTTTCTTTTATTGAAGAGTTGAAGAGCCTTTAATCAAAAATTATATATTGCTATAAGATTTAAATAAATAAGGCGACGGTAAGCTATGGTATTTTTAAAAATAGTTTATTTAAGCAAAACACTTGATTGGTGAACTATTAAAGGTATTCACATATCGCTCAATAGCGCAGTTATCGGTAAAGTTGTAATATATAAGTTGGGGAAGTAAAATATAATATAAGTGAAATTAGTTTGTTCTAATTTTTTCAATTAACATTTCTTTATTTATAATTATAATTTAATTTTACTGGGTTCAGATCGTTTATCTAAAAAATAGTAAATAATATAAATGGCCTAAAGCCCGGTAAATGTAAATATAAAAATATTGATCGAAAATAATTTTTAATTTTTTTTAAATTTAAATTTTGTACAACAGTTTACAATAATAAAAATTAGCTGATCTTTTACGGAATACCGAAAAATTACTCGACGAGATACTTCAGAATGTCGTTAACTCGATAATGTTGTAATTTCTCAAAAAAAAAATTATATAAGATTTTATAACTTTACCGAGTTACTGAGCACGTGTGAATATCCGAAAAAATTATGACACATATATTTTACAAAAAAAAAAATTAATAAATAAAAACCTATTTCTATTATCTTTAAATTAAAATTAAAATTTAAATTTAAATTAAATTTAAAAAAAAAAGTTAATAAATAAAAACCTATTTCTATTATCTTTAAATTATGTTAAAGTAAATTTACTCGATTTTTAAAATCGTTATAACATGGTAAAGAAAAATAGTCATTATAAGAAAAGTAGTCTTTATCAAAATTAATTAATTAAAATGTGTAGCTACATTTTTAAGTTTATTTTCTAGATCGGAACTTAAACTGAGTTTCACCTTTCAACCCTAACAATAGTATTAAAACGTGAATATAAATTAAAAAGCTGAGGTCATGTGGAGTAAAAAAATATAAAAAATATTTCTATTTATCACCACTTAGGTTTCTATGCTCTGAAACCTGGATCAACACACTTAAAACCCTTTATTATTCATTTTTGAGTTAATGAAAGTATTGTGTTATCGAATTTATGACCATATAGATTTCTATGAACTTTAAATTGTATCCACATATTCTGAGAACTTTAATATTAATTTCAAATAAAAGAAAGGTCATGTGGATATTAAGATATAATTGAAGAGGCTTCGATTTTTTTCTATTTATTGCCACATAGATTTTATGACCTATAATCAGTATTTACATATTTTAAATTCGGACACACCTTTATGTGGTTTAATAAATATCAGTACAATATGTTTAAAAGCTTACTACATTATTTTCCAAATTCTGCCATTATTTGGCAGAAAATCAATCAAACTTTTTTATGTTTTTTGTTTTATTTTTATATAATCTGCCGTATTATATACATATATTTTCTATTCAAAAATTTCTATTCTATTTGCTGCTGGGTATGTACAAGATACGGTTCACGGGGCTGTTATTTCATACACATACAAAATAGCATATACACAAACCATTTAATAACTGCAGTAATCAAATATTTGACGAAGATAGGTTCAACGAAAAATTTGAACTAAGCCAAATTTTTTGAAAAAATAATATGTTGTATTTAAATTGTGCTATTTGTTTATAGCTGATACCGCCATCGCGTAATACATGTAAACACTTTTGGGTACATGTTTCATTTTAGGTCCTTAGCCCGATGGATAGAGGGGTGAATATGTTATAGTACATTTACACTGTCTCATTTAATGACTTGCTCAATTTTATTAATGAGCAAACGTTCACAATCTAATGAGCTCATTTACACAACTGATAGAATTTTTATAAACTTTACTTAATAATATATCACATAAAAAAATAAAATATATAACTGATATATGAAATTATTTATATACATTTTATATATCAATTACATATTTAATTAATAAAAACAAAGATTTTATTAAATACTTACTTCCTGAGTGCGTTCGTCTACAGCTCAGCTGTTTGTTTACATTTTATATATAAAATATATGACAAATGTTTCAACTTTTGGTAATTTCCCTTGTGGGATATATTATTTTTCTTTTTTAAGGATTACGTTCGACAATTTCCATCTTTAATAAGCTGATCTATTGATAATGAGCTCATTTATATGAAAGATTTTTGTATGGTAAATCATCCTCATTAGTGGTTGTAATGAGGAAAAAAGTCTAAATGAGACAGTGTGATTGCGCTATTATTTAATTCGTTTTAATTAATAATTAAAGGCCATTATAGCAACAAGATTTTCGATTCTTAAACATCAAGCATTATATTCAATTGGGGTTATTGATGTTTTGCAATACGACATGTACATTATACACCTCTAACGACTAGAAAAAACTTGATTTACACATTCATAATTATATCCAGTACGTAAAATCATACATCATATGTACTTTCAACATGTTACAAATCGTAATAATTTTTCTAGCATTCTAAATAAAACAGTTAAATAAAAATCGATAAAATTAAATAAGAAACTAAATAATTACTAAATTGTTATATAAAATATTATATACCTCTATATTATTTCTGATTTGGAATTTTATTTGTTTAAATATTTCAAATATGGGTATAATTTGGGAAAGTAATATATATAAATATTGCTTTCTTTAAGTATTAAAATTAGTAGAATGAATATCTAGCGTATATTTTAAAAGGCATTTAGAAATTTTTTGATATATAAAAAATCGGATTTCTAAAATTCATTAAATTTGTTGGTACTTACCCAGTTCATTTGTTCTAGTTTCAGGTAGTATTGTACTACATGTATAATTTGCAGCTGCTCTTTTATCTATACTATGTTTTTATTACATCGATGGACTTATACGTGAGATATTAATTGTGTTGCTATTTGCTATGTCGTAAGAGAGACGGTCGTTGTTAGAGTTTTTGTGTAATCACGTAAAATTGTAGTCGACTGTATTTCATGCTCCCCATTGTGAACGCGGTCAACAATTGCGGTATATGTTCGCTGAATTGTTGTAACAAAAATTGAAGTTGTAAACAAAGCTTTTGTTTCAACCGATGTCGGATGAAATAATATGGTCATCGATGAGTTTAGCTCAGTAAATAAGTGATTGTTCTTAACTTTATTTTTATTTCGGATGCTCTTCTCATTTCTGCATATGGGCTTTTTACACTGTTTCCGAGTTCTTGTCGCTTTAATTTTCCCTTTTATTTCTGAACTGTTTTCCACAGGTGTAATTGAAATTTCTGTAGAATTTTTTGGTGTATTTGATGGGACTGTTGTAATGGAGGTTAGGTCCACTGCGTCAATAGCACTTAGTAAATTTGGTGTGGATTGAAATTCAATATCAGAACTTCTCTCCGTTCCTGTAGTAGGAGTTTTGGTGTCAATAACATTTACATGTGCGTTATTTCCCTCAATCACAGTAAAAGAATATTGCTTCTCCTGTGGTGTTTTTAACTGTTTAATTTTAATTACTCGCAGTCGTTTAAATGGTTCAACAGTTCTGATTAATTCGGTTTTGTTGCTTAAAAGCCGCTTACGGACTAAGAGTTTACGTATATTTCGTTTTAAAATTGTGGAATTGTTTTGGTCTGTTGCATCCTTTGTTTGGTACTTATTGGCAATTATTTGGTCCGGTTTTTCAGTAAATATAGATCTTTTTTTTCTAATATCCGAACTAAATTTTTTAGATGGTGAGGGTGAAGTGATATTAGATAAATCATTTGATAATTTTGTACAGTTTTCACTTTGTCCGTAAATTTTTTCACGGTTACTAGTACCAATACTTTCTATCGTGTAGTCATATTTTAACTTACTATCAAATGCGATAAATATATATTTGGTAGGAATGCATAAATTGACCTTTAACTCGAGCTGGGATTGGTTGTGCTGAGTAAGGTCCTTTATTCTAAAAAATGTATATTTGACAGTTCGTTTTCTTGAAAATGTTTTACATTTGTTAAATGCATTGTTGAAACTACTTCCATAGAATTCGTTTTTGTCATTTTAGATAAGTTATGTGTTGTTTTCGCATGCCACAAAATAACATCACCCACTATGCTCTCTAATGATTCAGTTTGTTGCTGAATATCATAATTTGGTTCAATTGAATTAAATGCTAATATCAAATCAGTATCTTCATTATTCACATGGGGTCGTTGAACTTCTGGAGCACTGTCGATAACATCGGGAATAGCATAGTTATTGATCTTTTCACTACCATCGCTAGTATAAAAGTCTTCAATATTTTCTATAGCTGTGGTAGCATGAATATTTGAATCGGCCTCCCGCTTATGTAACGTTGATTCATAATCGGCTTTTACTGTTGATAGAATAGTACTGAATTCACCTGGACGACGTCCCGAAACATACAATGTGATGACACTGCTATTTTGATCTTCATCTAGTTGCTTTTGTTGCTTGTTTCGTTTAGATCCTTTACCTGATTTTCTTAGTTTTTTTCTTCCAGTTTTATGGCTTAATGTTTCTTCTATCACTCGAATTTCATCATCAATATCATCGTTTTCAGAAGACATTCTTACGTTATTTGTATCAATATCTTGGAGATTTTCATTATAAAGTAATTGTTTCGGTAAAATCGTATTTTTTGATGAATTCTCCACTTGCTGTTGAGGTTGCTGCTGAAGCAATAGTTGTTGTAATAGCAAACTATTAACTTGAGCTGCTGGTTGCTGTTGAAGTGTTGGGGTTGTAACAATAGTGTCTGTTATGAACTCCGTAGCAGTAATTGTTTCTGCTGAAGTATCAAAAATAGTAGTTAAAATCTTTTTTCCCTGAAATGTTACTGGCAAAACAGTTGACGTTCCCTCAAATAAAGTTGTAACGTATGTAGATGTATGTGTACGAAACTCAGTTACCGGTACTGGTGGAGCTAAATTTGATACAGCAGGTATTTGCATTGACTGTGTTATTGCTCCACCTAACGCCTCTAGTAGTGGATTTGAGGGTAAGCCAATATTACCAAGTAGAAGTTGAGATAAAAGAATATTAGCTAGTGGAGCATTAGCTGAAATTTGTGGCTGTAAAGTTGACACAACATTTTCAACTGAATAAATAGTGGACGGAATAATATGGGAAAATGATGTCTTTCGGCCACGTATGGTTGTTGGAGTAAACGTTACAGATGTAGTGGGTGTTTCATGTAAAATAAATTGTGTTACTTCCGTTGCTCCAGCAAAATTTGTACTTGACTCCTCATGAACTAGTGCTAGCGTTGTTTGACCATTATTTCCTACATATCTCGTATATTGTTGTGAGCTGACTACTTCAGTGCTCGTTTTAGCTGTTATTATATTTTTGTATTCTGTTATTTTACCATTTACAACAGGTATTGTTGCTTCTGCTGGCACAACATGTGTGATAGTAATAATGCCATCGAAGATAGGTTCAACGAATTCATTACGGCTACGAGAACGCACAGTGGTCATTCCTCGGCCTCGATTATTTGAACTGTTTCTGTTACGAGAAATAGTTGTTCTACTATTGTCGAGAGGAACATTATTAGTGGCAAAGTTTTTTAAACGTCTGTTGTTTGGTGATGTATGACTAGTTCGTCTAGTGGATGCAGTAGATGTTTTTGGTCTGCGAAAGGAAGAAGTGCTAGATGTTCTAGATAATCCTTTTTGGGTTGCTGTTGTTGCATCTTTTTCTCGCAATGTAAATTGCGTTCGTCCAATTGATGGTCGAGTTGGTCGAATAGCTCTATTATTTGCTGTTGTAGTTATTGCGGCTGTGGTCGCATGTTGCATACCAAAAATTTGATACCTTGTACCAAAACGCGATGATAATCGTGAACGCGTTGTTGTTGTACTTATAGGAGTGACAGATCCAATGTCATCTGTATTGTAACTTTGTGGTTCATTTGATGTGGTTGGTCTTCCACGTCGAAAGTTAGTACGCAAATTACTTCTGTTTGAAAAATTGTTTTCTGCACTTCGTCGTTCTCTTTTCTTGTCTGAACGGTTCTTTACTCTCCCTATTAGTTTATCGTTAATATTTTTATTCAATAAATTATTTGTTTTTAACTTCTGGACTTGCTTTGTATTTGAACGTCTTCGACGATTGCCATCATCGTCTAAAGAGTCTACTTCAGCATCATCATCATCTTCATATTCAGAGTCATCATCACTGTCTGTTTCCTCAACGTTTGTTTTTTTGTCGGTAATAGGTTCTTCTACTGCAGTAGATATAGATTTTGGTTGAAATAGTCCACGTGGAGGAAATAAACTACTTTGTGGGCGAGAACGGTTTAAATTAACTACAGGTCTTTGAAAACTGCGTGGTTGTGCAGGTTTTGATGTCGTTGATATTGCTGTAGAAGTCGTTGTTGTTTGGTCTTTACTGCGTCCACTTATAGGACTTCTACGAGACGAAATTGAATTATTTGAAATAATTGGCCGGTTTGTAAGGGTAAAACCACTCGGACGGCTGAGTGGTCTTCTGAAACGCAATAACGAGTTGTTTTGCTTTAATTTGTTAGAGTTAACTGCCTCCACATTCGCATCGTCATCATCATTTGGGGTTTCTTTGGTTGAGGTTTCTTCTTCACTTATATCATTTTCAGGTTTTTGAGTTTTTAATGTAATTTGTTGTGCCGCGTTGAATGTTGATGTCGATTTAATGCGAAGTCGTGAATTACCTGCATAAACGCTTGAAAATGGTGAGCGATAGTTTCCAGCAGATGTTGGTCTTAATAAAGATGAAGACCTTCTCCCTCCTGGCAAAGAAGAAAGCTGGATACTTGAACTTAATCGATTTCTTATTCCACCGAAATTGATACCAGTGGTTGACGAAGTATATATTTGACTTCCATTATTGCTAATTCTGCTTGGACGACTAAAACGGCGCGATGAACTCGGATTGAAATTTGAAGTATTAATAGACGAACTTTTACGTGTTGAGCCAAAACGATTATTAGTTGATTTTAGAGCAGGTGTCGCAGTAATGGTAGGTGTGAAATCACTTCTTGTAATTATTGTTGCACTGCTGGGAAGAAGATTATTTTTTTTTGGTGCAAATAGTGGTCGATTACGTGAAGCAAATGGACGTATAACAGGAGTAAAAGTGCGTTTTTTCGACAAAATGTTATCGTGCTGCAAGTCCTTTTCATCTATATTTTCATCTGATGATTCTATATTAGTCTCAGTTGTCTCTTCTGATGAAAGTACAGCTTGCTGAGTTATTCCAATTATATTTTCGGTTGGGGTAGGTGTGGGAACCAAAACGGAATTTTGTTGCTGAAACTTTGTGGTTTCATATAAGAAACTTGATGTACTTTCTATAATTTGTGCATATCTATTATTTATAATTGTTCCAATAACTTTTGACTGGTAGAGTGTTGTAGTTGAATTTGCTATTTTCGTGCCATCTATTAATCGTACTAAACCAGTCTTATATGTTCGACTTGCGCTACCTTCATTATTTTCTTCAGTGTTGACAGAAGCTGTATTTTGCAATAAGGCCTTTTTAACCTCATCTACATAAAGACTTGAGGTACTAGTTGTGAATTCTGTTATTTGACCATCTTCGGCTGCACTAGGTATTATTTGTGTTGTAAGAAACAAAGTACTTACACCTTCTGCATCAATTATTTTTTTGTAATCGAAAAGAATATAATTTAATTTCTCAATGGGGGATGTTTCAACGTTTATTTTAGTTTCTTTTTCATCGTCTTTACTATCTTTTTGTTGAGCAAAACTTGTATTTTGTAATGTTAGAGTTGGCGTAACTACATTTGTAATTGTTTCGAAGCGGGAATCAGTTAAGGTTTTGTTTGCTTCATACGACGTCGTGTAGTACGTGTATGTAGTATAGTATGTGGTGGGTTCTATTTTACTCACATTTACGTCGAATGGCATAGAAATAATTGAATTTTCCGGTGCAGATGGGGTTATATCTACTTTATTTTCTACTTTTAGGTCGCTATTTGAATTTAAAATGACTGTTTCCTGCTCATGGGATATTTCATTTGTTGACGTAGGTGTAATGGTCATAGGAGTGGCAATATTTGTAATAGTCTCCTCTCTACTAATAGTAGTTACATCACCGTATTTAGTCAATTTGGTCCAATAGGTAAAAGTTGTGAAATATGTTACCGGCTGTGTGACGGCCTCTTCATCAAAAGTTATCATTTTGGAAGGTGTTAAAGTTTCAGTTGCAACGCTTGTTATTGTTTCTAAGTGGCTCACCACATTTGAGTTGGTACCACTGTACATAGTTGTATAATATGTAAATGTAGTGAAACTGGTCTGTAATAAAAGAGTAGCTGATGGTACTATTTCATCTGTGTTGCTTTCTGAAATTATTTGATCGTCTATTGTATCATTACGCTTGATCAGAGCCTTCGGGTTGTTAATAATTTGTTTATCACCGTTTGAACTACTATAACGAATATCTGTCATTAAAGTAATATCATAATCTTGTAATTCTATCGTAGATGATGGGTGTCGTGACATTGTGCTATATTGTAGTTGTGATGATGTTTCTTTTCCCGAAATGTCACTAGATTTTTGGATTATTGTGTCTAATATTAAATTCTCAAATATATTATCATATTCCTTAGGAATTAATGTGTCAGTTATTGCAATTTCTGCAAAATTATTCTGTGTTTTTGTTGGTTCAATTGCAAGAGGTGAGGTTATCAAATTTGTATATACTTCCGTTCGTGACATAACTTCTGTTTCACCTTCTACGAAGATTGTTGTATAATATGTATACGTGGTGTAATAAGTTTCAATTTTATGGTTTTCATCGTTTAATTGATTTGTTATTGTAACTTTTTCTGGACTCATGTTATCCTCCTCTCGTACAAAATTCTCTACTTCACTTGGTACCATAAATTTGGAAAAAGTTTTTGTTATAGATAGTTCTTCTATAGAGTTGTGTGGAGTTGCTGAAAACATCTTACTTTCAAGTGAAACTTCTTCAGAGTTTTGCTGAGAATCGTTCTCAACTTCTATCGTAGAAGTTATGACATTTGTAACTACTTCGGTATGACTTGATATGCTAGTAGTTTTTTCATGGAAAAATGTTGTTAGATATGTATAGGTTGTATACAAAGTTCTATAAAGAAGTTCAATTTCTTCTGAAGATTCATCGCTATTTTCGTGCTCAATAAGAGATTCTTCTTCATCGCTTGCTACTAGTGTTGTGTTTTCATCCAATGTAGTTTCTTTAATATTCTTGTCTGGTATATTTTTTTTTAAATTTTCATCTGTTCTAAGACGTTCGGTAGTACCCGTAGTGAATTCATTATCATTATCTGTTATTTCAGTGTCAAAAAATTCTGTAGTGGAATACATATCTTCTTGTAAGTAATCTTCTTTATTGAATGATAATTCTTCCATCGCTTCGGAGCTTAAATTAATTTCTAGTGGTTTTTCTAGTTGTATAGATATAGTATTACCATTGAAACTCTCGGAAGTGGGCTTAATACAGTAATGTTTGGTGGCTTGCGTAATATCAAAGGTTGATATTATGTTCGTTTGGGTAACTGTTGAGGTTATAGTTTCTAAACCGTTGCCATCTGTAAAAGTTTTCAGATATGTTGGAGAAAGTGTAATAGTTTTCGGCACTTGCGTTAGGAAAACTTGGGATGTACGTATACAAGATTCGTTTACGTTTGTATCCTTTTCATTAATTTCTTCTATTATAAAATTATTTAATATAACTGCTGGAGTTCTAACTTCAGGTTCGGTGCTATTTTCAGTGTTGATAACATTAGAATTAGACTGCTCTTCATTTGGATTTTCTGTAGTATCAAAATTTAGATCACCTGTTGTAGTCATGGTTTCTGAAAATTCGTCACTGCAACCCAGTGATTTATTACATGTAGAAGATATTATTTGCATTTCGTTTTCATTGGTCACATTTATATCCATATTCGCTATCTCAGAATTTATATTATTTTGTGTAATATTAGCAGTTTTAACTTCGTATTCAGTGGATAGTTTTGAATATTCATTTGTGCTGCTATAAGAGCTTAGTTGCGAAATATCTGTTTTAGTGCTTTTATGAGTAAATTCCAAAATTCCTGTCGGTTCTATGAAATTTGAAAGGGGATCCTCTTCAAAGAATATGGTTGTAGCTCCCCCATGTACTTCTATACCACTCGTTACATCTTTTGTTTCTTTTGAGTTAGAATTAACATTGCTTTCATGACTTTCTATTGGAATGGTAGTCTGCTTTTTATTTGCCTCTCTGGATAATGAAGCATATATTGCAAGAATTTCTTCTTCCGATGGTCTTGAATACATTTGAGTGTTAATCTCATTTGGAGTACTTTGAATATTTTTACCTATATCTGATGATGGTATTTCCGAACTATGCAGTGAAGTGGAACCTTGTAAAACTACTTCTTGTTCTAAAACATCTTCCGAATCATTTCGTATTGATTGATCAAAGTTACTAGTTACAGCAACTGTAGCCATTTCTATTTCTTGTTTTTTATTTTGTAACTCAATGTTTTCTGTTGTAATTTCTTTCGTAATTTCACTTTTTAGCTTGATGTCATCAATAGGACTATTAGTTTTTGTTACTATCGTTGTGCCATATGTTGGAGAAATAGAGTTAATAGCAGCAGGGGGAACAAATTCTTCAAAACGATGCCCCAGAGTTGCTTCTCCTGAAATTGAAGTTATATGCCCAACATTAGTATTTTCCGTTGTTTTACTTGGGGAAAATACGATAACGCTATCTCCAACAGTTGTAACAAAATCTGCAAATCCATAATATGTTGTTGTTGAAAAGGAACGCTTAGGTTGAATCTGCGGCACAGCAGAAAGATTAGAATCGACGCTATTTATAACTTGCTGAAAGTAAAGCTTAGGTGATCTGTTGTCATCTCCAAATTGAACAGAAAACTTTTGTTCTTGCTGATCTCGCAAAAAGTTTTCAGAGTTATTTGATGAAGAGTATCCACTAGGTGCAAACTGATTGATGACGGTGTATGTGGGCAAGTTAGCAATCGGTAACACCTTGTTTGCTACCAATTTACGAATATCGTTGTCCGTAGTTTCATGAAATTCATTCCATTTGTTTTTAACTGAGTTTAGCGATTCAATTTCATTTACAGCTTTTGTAGCATTTACATTAATCTTGGAAGATTCAGACAAGTTTACCGTTGCATATTTTTTTATATTATTGATACCAACAAAATCTGTGTTTCCTACAAATTGATTATGTTGTATAGTTGAACGATTATCTTTGTCTTCATGTTCAGGAAAAAGATAATTGTTAATATGTTCGGGCATTATTTTCACAGTAGACGTCGATTCCCCCACCCAACTAGTTACCACAGAAGCAGAGTATGAGGGCACACCCTCGAAAAGTACACGGGAGCTCTTCTTCAAATACTGTGCATAAACCCGGCCATTATCAAGTGTCGTGCCAAGTACTTGCGTTGCATATTCAGTGGTTACACCCTCTTGTATAAATGTCCGAGCTGTCGATGTTAAAAGACCAACTTCGGGTTTTAAATTAATATACCGTCCAGGGAAGTCATTCCGTCCTTTGTCCTTATTTAATAATAAAACAGTCGTTAACGCTACTTTACAAACGATTATATACAATTAGTAATAACATTTATTTACAATAAATAATAAGTTAGAAACAGTAATAAAAGTATTAAATGTGTTGTATAATGTTGTTTTAACAGAAAAGTACACAGTTGGTTTATTTAGTTACAAAGATCCATCCGGCCCATATAGTTTAAGGAATCATTTACCAATTATGTACATATAAGAAAAGAAAAAAGAAAGAAGAGAGAAAAAATAGTGGAAATATAGATTAACTTGAAGTCACTAAATTCAGTATATATACGCCTACTTATAAAAATTAAGAAATTTTGATGAGTAAATGATAGCATTGGGTATGTAAAAAATTTGTACACTTATAAGAAGCACTGCAATTTAAGTTTAAAAAACTATAAAAATTCAATTAAAACCAACTTCAATTATAAATAAAACATTAAAACACAATTGCAAACTAACATGATATGTTTGAGGTTCTTATGTCACGAATAATACCAAACAAAAATAAACAACTGAAATCAGTTAACAGATTTTATTTAATAAGTTGAATGACTTGAAATGTGTTTGAAAAAAAAAATGTATTTATTGTTTTTGAGACATTTGCGAAAAGGTGTTTTTCCCCTTTAGTCAGGAAGACATGTCAGTTTTGAAGTCGTGAATCTAGGAAACCAAGAACATATGTTCTATATACATCGTTAAGCTGGAATAAAAACCTTTGATTACACAATAGCATATTCAAGGGGATGAATGAAGAGTATATATACTCTCTTGAAAAATAACTTGTCAACTTTTAAAGATATATATATGTATATTGATACATATATACATATATATATGAAAAAGCTAGATGAAAAATAAAGATGAAGAAACTGCAGCGTTTATAATAAAAAAAATCATTTAGCTAGTGTTGTACTTCATTTAGTTATTAAAAATTTTGACAGAAAGTATTTTCTAGTGTACCCCCATTCCCTTGGCACAATCGCATAAAATGAAAACATTACTAAAATGTTGGAAGAAATTATATAGTAAAAATATAAGATAATTTAAACTTGGCTACGCCCACGATTATTGGTATACCATTGTCGAGTTATTGCCTAAGCAGTTTTCTGCGATGAATACCAGGATTTTTTCGCACTCGTTCTTTGCTTGCGTCATGCAGTATGGGTGGTTTAAAAATTTAAGTTATAGCAATATACTGTTTCAAAAAAGCATAGCATAGACTTTTATTGGAAGTGTGCCATATACATATATTCTTCGTACTTTGTGCTCTTAAAACATGTTTTGAATCTCCTAAGTAATTCTTTTTTTAAATTTAGATATATTTTATAATTACTAACAATTGCTAATTGAATGCGCTCTCGCATTCAACGCTGTTATCTCTTTAGGCATTGAATTTGAAGTGAACTGCTACAGCACTAAGTATAAAAGTATAACCCTTTGACGATAGGCGTTAAGGCATTACATGAAAGAGTATTTAGCATTATTTGACACCCTTTGATGATACTGGGATTTGCGAGGAAGAACTCTCCTATTATGTTTACATAGATTTTGAAATTGGGCAGCGTGTAAAGTTTAGAGTATGAAGTCCTTAGGTATATTTTTTATTCGATTTCGGGAAAAGAATCATCGAAAGCACACTGACTTATCTAAGTTTCAATACTGTTCTTCTTGCAATCATATAGCTAATAAAAGCCACTTGCAGTTAATTAAATCTCTTTTAAATCTTATTAATTAGTCTTTATTAATATGTATTCACATACATGACAGAAATGTACTTATCATTATCATCTGATTTGATATAAACATTAGAACAAAAGGAGTAATTATATGTTTCCTTTATGAAAACTGGTCAATGTACCCTATTTCAATAAGCAAAATATCTGAAAGTTATCTTAAATCTAAAATAAGCTAACGAGTAAATTTAGCTTAAAGTGTTTAAAAGTGTCCTCTCTACGTTATTTTAACATGATATTAAGAAGGGAATACCATTATATAGCATATTTTCCTAAGATAAATTAACTTTCATTATGAATTACTAAAACTTTAATATAAGATCGTAATAATTCACCTAACAAAAATTTATTGAAAACGGGTTCATGCACCAAAACTTGTAAAATTAAGTAGTTATAATAATCAACATTTTTTCGGTTTAAATACTCTGTTAAGAAAATATAAAAACAAAAGCAACATTTTTTAGTTAATGATGCAGAAGGCACCTTTATTGCCGAAACTTATGCCGTGCGTAGACTACTAATTAAAACAGACGAGTTTACACTCGCTCTGAATAATTGCATTTAACAGTTTGCTACATATTTTCTGTTAACGATTTGTATGTTTCATAAACAAATATCTGAAGTTGAAAAGTTTATAACAGTATTCTAATGCTTCGACACATAATATTTTTATAATTTATTCTTAAATTAGTTCAATAATTAATACTTTTATATCACTCTGTACATTTCTGTACACTTGCTAACTATTGAAATTGCAATTTTATAATGTGAACTGCATTTCCTTTGTAAATACTTTAACATAGTTTATTGGTTCGAACTGTAATCGCCAGTAATTGATTTATAGTTAGCAGAATTTAACAGTAAGCCTTTTCTTTTGTAAGCGTGTCGCAAAAGAACAAATAAAATAAGCACTTGTTCCGATGACAACTCTGGATAAAATGGAAATTTTGTTAGGCGTATATATGCAAAACACATAATAAAATTTAAAGTTGATATTTCGAAAATGAATAATAATTCTTTGCAATTATTAGTAAAAATATTTTTTTTTACATGATTGTGAATAGAATATGAATTGTCATGCCTTTTAACAGTAAAATAATAAATAGAAAAAGATACGTATTTTTTACGAACAATGACGACACGAAATACGAATAATTAACGAAATCATTCGTTGACAGTTAACTGGAAATTTTGTTGGTCTTGGCAACCATGCGATTTGAGCTGCTTATTAGTTAAGCGATTTCAAAAAGGTTGGACTAAATAAGCTAGCAATGTTGTTGGTTCATATGTTATTTTTAAAATAGCCGGTTGTTCTTTTGTGATATGCTTTCGAAAAAAAAGCCTAGTGATAAAAATTATATCCCTAATGCAAGTAACATGAGTGGCTTCCACATATATTCTATTTAGAATAATAACATAATACATGCATTGGTTTAATAACTAAATTATGTTAGATCTTTACCAATGAGTAAGTATGAAAAAAGGAATATGGCCAATATTTATTTCATGGATTTTGATCTGAAACGAACAAAGTGTTACGAAATAAGAATGCACAACTTTCTGCAGTAATGCTTAGATCGAGACATGTGACTTTAATCAAAAAAATAAAATGACCGTAGAAATTTGTATTCATTTAAAAATAATGCTATATGTATGCGGATAGATTGGATTGTACTTGATTTCGCACCTTTTGAATAAATATACATATATGAAATACTTGTGTAATAGCATAATAATGCGAAGAGAATATCCCAAGACCACGAAGTTCTCCAGCACAAAATAAGATTTGTATATAAAGTAGCAATACTTTTTACTTAATGTAAAACTTTTTCTCACAATTTCATTAGGAAAATCAGGGTAAGAAAATACATACAAAGACAAGATTTAAAGTACACTTAAAAGGAATCTGTTATCCCTAAAAACACAATTATGATATCAAATAACTGCAATCAAATTATAATCATCGTCGTAAATTTTTCATTCAGAGTTGTAAAAAAACATCACTTTTAAAACATATTATCATATATGTTAATATGGCATCACTTTTAAAATATGTTAAATGCTTCTTTGGTATATTTTTTGTAGTGTTGTGTTCAATATGAAATATAAAAATTGTGAACACTAAAAATTAATTAATTTTAATAAAAGAAAATAATATAAATAGTAGAAGCATTTTTATCTTATATATTTAAATTAATTTATTTATTTATGTATTTGAAATTACTAGTTAATGAAAGCCCCATTTGATTTCAACGGATGACTAGAATTTTGCAACACATTTCCATGCACAATAGCCTGATATTTGAATTTGGCTGCACTGAAACTTAAGACGTGAAATTTTTTGCGAGTAAAAGCTAACTCTGAAGACTTTAAGAGCATTGTTGTTGCGCGTATTTTTTGCTACTATGAAAGAAAAAATTATCGCTAATAATATACTAATTTATTTTAACAAGGTGCTGCGTTTATCAGATACATACCTAACAAATGTGTGTAAATATATCTATTTGGACTTTACACTGCTTGATATAAACTATTTAACAGATTCTCTTTCACTGTATATAAAATTATTTAAAATTAATTATATTAAATTATTACAGAAACTTTTTAATAACTAGCTTAAAAAAAAGTATTAAGCTAAAAAAGTATTAATAAAAAAAAAAGTATTAATATTAAATTTGGAGAAGTTTTCTCACCTATTGTTGAAAACTATTATTAAGAATGGTGATTCTCTTTCCGTAATTCGGTTTATTAGTAGAAGATATTTCTATTTCAGAACTTATTCCTTACTTCATTCTTATACACATCGTGGATCATTTATTGCAAAATATAAGATACTATAAAATTTTTTATAGTATATGCATTTATGTATTACAAAAATACACAGCGACAAAAAGATAAGCATTTTGAAACTAATCAAGTTCGACAAGATTTTAATAACAGCAGCTATACTGTGTGTGTATATAAACCAAGTATTACAATCTAGTGAAAACCAATTTAGACCTCTAGTTTTTGTTTTTGATATTTGAAATTGAAATTGAAATAAATTAATGTATGTTTTTGTAAATGAAACAGACTAGAGACAGAGACTAAAGGGATAAAATTATTTATGTAGTGTGCTAATTAGTGTTCAATATAAGTGTCAATATATACAATACTTTTGGCAATCACTTACTCTATACTTTATAATTTAAGCGCAAAACAAAGAATTGGGCGCATTACGAAATATTTACAGTCAGTGTACAAATATTTTACATATATTACCTTTTATTAGCGCATAAAAAATTGAATAAAAAACAAACCTTCCTTTCCCACTTCCAAAGCTGGTGTTGGTTCGACTATATAAGCATCATCTGTAAAAAATAAAAAAAGTTCTTGTAACATGAGGAATGGTAAATAATTCGAGAATAATAACGCAAAAAAAATTATATGAATCCCATATTATTCAAATGAAAATTGAGTACAATTAAAGATAAGAATGCCATCATATTTCCTGTTTGAAGAACCCCTTTCTTCTTCTTATTAATATTTGTCTTAATTTAATTTTACTGTCTGATTCTGTAGACCCTTTCGTTCGTGTTTTCGAAGAATACCTTATAAGAAAAACTTAAACGAACGAAACTTATTTTTTTTGTTCGTTAAAATAGTTATTAACTGATATGGAATCAGTTAAACAAACGACGTTATCGTTTGCGGAACGCAAACATCATGTTCTGGAAATGTCTTTCTAAATAGGTCATGGCTAAACATGTTTAATGTTAAAACATTAAAACTATGAAAATGATATAAGCATGTTTATATTAGATTCACACGAGAATTTTAATTGTTATTTTAGCTAATATTTCAATTTATTCCTGATTCTTCTTCTTCTCGTTCTTGAGTTGGTGCTATTACGCACTTTTACTCTATAATGGCTGGAGGGCTTATCACTACCCCACACTAGGCTTTAACTAGGCTAAGAAATCATATCATTTATTTGTCTTTTAGTTGATGAAGGAACTTAAATCAGCATATCTTCTGTCTCTGATATATTTTTTCACGGAGTCAATCCTAAGATGTCTATGTATGTCTGTTGATCTAATATACCATGGAATCTTCAACAGTCTTCTTTATCTTGATTTCGATAGCTAAAAAGTTCAAAAGATTTCTATGGAAATTTTAACAGTTCAAAATAGAATTGAATAGCTATTTTACGAAATTTAGTGGATTTTAGAATGAAACAATACTGTTATTTATCGTATGTTTATATATGAAGGACATTCAAATTACAATGACACATTGTGTGAATTGATATTTTTGCTTTTTGATATCAGATGTCAATTTAAAATTTTTTTACTGCTAAAATTACAAGCAAAATTCTTATGTGAATCCAGTATAACTCTGACGTTTCATTTTGTTTATACAATTGGAATCAGTAAATGAATAAATTAATAAATTATTGTGAAAACAAAGGAGATTCTGATATCAATATAATGTATAAGTTAAATGAAAAAGCAAAATAGTCTAAACTGGATAAAATGGCTTAATACAGTAAAAAATTTAAAATAAGGGCTTTTCTTGTGTAAGCAGATCGGAAAATCACAATATAAAATAAGCACTGGAAATTTTGTTAGGCTTGTACATATATGCAAAACACCTAATAAAATTTCAAGTTAAAGTTTGGAAAATGAATAATAATTCTTTAGAATTATAGGTAAAATATTTTATTTTTCACATGATTATGAATAAAATTTGTATTTTCAGGATTTTACAATGTTAACAGAATAAAATTGGAAATTACAAGAATTGAGTATTATTTATCAAATATTTGTTGATAGGTTACTGGAAATTTTGACTTACTTCCAAAAACCGTTATCAATAGACGAATTTTTTCACTTGTCAACCATGCGATTTGATCTACTCATTAAGCGGGTATTAAACATCATACTTGGTGCGACTACTTAGTGCGTTGTATGTGACATTCCTATTCCTTGGCACTAGTCTCATCTGTAATAGGAATATTGGCAGAAATAACGAGAAAACTGATGGAAATCAAAATATTTCGATTTTTCGTCAGACTTCCTCGTGTTTTTTTTTTGTATACAATCGGATTTTTGTCATTTTATTATAAGAAAGAGAAGCGATAACACCGTTTAAATGCACGCATTATTTTATTTCATACTACATTTGTAATATTTTTTGCTGAGGAATATTAAAAATAATGTCACACCAAGTATGATGTGTAATAATAAGCGATGTCGCACCAAGTCATCGCATCAAGTATGAAGTGTAGTACCGGCTATAGTCAAGCGGTTTCAACAAAGTTGGACTAAAAAAGCCAACAGTGTTGCCGTGTCCTATGTTTTTTTTTAAATAAGCGGTTTTTCTTTTATGATATGCTATATATTAGTTTCTAAAAAAATTTTTTAATAACAATGTTTTAATAAGTTTTATATAATTTAAAAAATAACATAAATAAAGTGAAATAAGGTATGTTCATTCTTGAACAACTAAAGACATTTAATGAATTATTTAATAATTCAAAACTTGGGATATACTATAATTATAACTGACTATAATTTTAGTTTTTAAAATAAATATGCGAATATTTAATAACAATCAAAAAAACTCTTAATGATGCCCATAAGAAATGCTTAGTATTAAAACATTTTTGGAGTAAAACATTTCTTATTTTCAAGAAAGGTGCTAACATTGAAGATATGGTAAATGTGCAACGTATTGTTGTTCTAAGCAAAGGTTTGACTAACGTCGTAAGATTGGAACACATCATTCAAACGAACGAACACTCGCAAGTAATCATACTTGTAAAAGTTTATTAAAATGTTATTTAATCTGTTACTCTGTTACCGAGTTCCTTACTCGAGTTCGTTTCTACCCCTAATATTTCAACAGTTTTAGATGATTACTTTCATAGATCTTGTTTTTTAATTCTGAATTTTACAATTCCGTCCCTACTTACAATTACCTGAATCTTTTAGGTAAGCAGTTCAAAGAATCTCTTGTAACGTTTTTGCGTATATATTTAAATTCCTTCTTCCTAAAAGTAAAACCGAATTAAAATTACCTAACTTCCACAATTACTTTTTTACTTTCATAACAAATTTTTCAAATTGTTTACGCCAAACAAATATTTATTGGACTTGTCAAAATTGTATCGGTTATTGGGTATATTCAATAACTGACATTGTAGTATTTTGTAAGCATTCATGAATTTAGCTGAAGCAACCATATGCAGATTATGGTTTAACACGTTCACGGACGTCTTAAAAAATATTTGTACACTAACAATTGCAAAAGCTTAAACATGTTTAACTACAGGTTTAAGCAGTTAAATCTGCACACAAAGCTAAGCCGGTTTAGTGCATTTATTTAAAAAGACTACACGACAAAATATCGTTGAGAAAAGTCATTATTAGACGATAGGTTATTTGCTGCCGTCTGCTGTGTTTGAACAAATGTTAAACTTTTGCATCGTGTAAATAGAAATAGCAATGGATTTAAAAAAAGTCACTCTGATATTTTACTGAAAACAAAAATTTTATAAAAGACGTATATTACATTAAATTACTAAATAAGTAATTAATTGTACAGCTTAAAAAAAAAATAGAAGATTCGTTGTTCTTATTAAGGTCCTCGAAAAGAACGTTAATTGATAAATCTATAATATAATTATTTCACACAAACTGTAATTAATTTATATTATGTAAACTTCATCTTGACATTTGCTTTCATGTCATTAGGTTAAAACGTAAGATACGTTAAAAAATAAAATAGGGAAATGGTCCGAACAAGAAAAGGTTTTACGGATATTTAATTAAGCTGATATACGATTAATGAAGACAATGTATTATAAATATGTTGGAGTTCTATTTATATTGGTCCAAATTTGGACCCACTTCTGTAAAATTGAAAACATTGATAACTACTATATTATTAAAGGAAAACTATGTAGAACTGAATCGATCTGATAAAATTTTGCTTATGATGGTTTAAATATAAATTCTTCTCCTCAAAATTCACTCTTAAATACTTATATTTACGTATTAAAAATTGAGTCCATCGATTCAAATTTAAAATTAAATGAATATAAAACTACATAGAAGTCATAATTATATATTTTATTAATATATAACAATGACTGAAAATGAAAATTTGTAATAAAGTTTTTCTTCTTTTTAATTATTACCTCAAATGTAACTAAAATAGAACTATACAAAACGTATGACGTGTAAACAAAACAACTTTTGTTAATGAATGTTTAATAACACGTATGCGGTTAATAAGTTTAAATTAAGTGAGGTTATATCAGCGATTCTAGGGATCCACTTATGCGTATTGGCCCATTGTATTATCGAATAAGAAACTCATAGGTTTAAATACCACCTTGAGCCTCTAGCAGACGCATGGGACCCATCAGCAAACCTACTACATAACCGATATCTTTACGAGGTAACTCAATAAAAGTCCTTAATGTTTTCTTAAAAGAATGCAGCCAACTTAATTACCAACATATGCATGTCGACATTTCGTTGAGTCCTCTCATCTTTTATTAAATAAAGAGTTTAAAGGTTAAAAAAGACCTACATTTTTTTATATATCATATTTCTTGTGTTAGAATTATTACATTATGAATAATCTTCAAGTTTAAAATAGTGAGCTACTTCAAAAAATTCGAACTAAACACTGAAAAAATAACGCTATTTTTCTTTAAAACCCAGGAAAAATAACAAAATTCGAACTAAATACTGAAAAAATAACGCTATTTTTCTTTAAAACCCAGGAAAAATAACAGTCAATTCAGTGCGTAATATTTTGTAAGTATGTTGCAAAAAGGCAACATAAAATAGCAACGCTTTGGATAGCAATACTAAAAATGTTGCAAATATATGCTTTGTTTTAATAAATGACAAGTTTTACATATTAAAATGGTCATAACAAAGTACGTAATATGTTGAGAAAAACAAAATAAATATTTCCCTAGAATGCGTTTTAAGTATATTATTTTATTATTATATTAATGCACTATTATAATATTTTATTTTAATACCTCTTTCAAATATGGAAATAATTAACCAAACATATTTAATAACCATTCACAATAGACAAATGTGTAGTGTTAGCAACGCTGAAACTAATTGACATGTTTATTGCTTAAGTAGTTTCAAAAAAATTGGGTTAAATAACACATCAGTGATGTAGTTTCATATGTCATTTTAAAATAATGGGTTGTCTTTTACAACCCTTTTTAAACGATTATGCCTAATGCTGAAACAAATTAAATTAAGTAAAATTATGCCTAATTTTATCCATTCAAATCATTTGGTTGCGTTCATTACAAAGTGAAATGACAAAATGATTCCGCTTTAGTTACGAAAAATTCAATTTGATCAAAACCTAATCAAAATGAAGCTTGTAATTCGCAATAGTGCAATTGTTTAGCGGTATTGTAAATAATACTTATTAGCTAAAAACTAAAAAAATATTGATGCTATTGTTAAAAAATAAGATTGATGTTATATGGTAATTCAAATCCATACAAAAATTCAACACCTAAAATTATGAATACCATGTTGAAAAAATTGGTAATTCACAGTAGTACACTTGTAAAGATATATAGGCACACACTACCACTCCGCAATTTAACCAAAAACATCTAGTATCTTGCTAAAGTTTTAATTTGTATGCAAAATACACTCTTGTTTAAATAGACAAGTCATAACCGATCCAAGGAACTGCCAAGAAAATATTATGAGATCGAGAAGCGATATATTCAGAACTTTTATTAAAAATTTTAGAGAATATTCCAATTATTTGTTTAAAATTGTTTGTAAACAAAAGTGCAAACAAATTTAAACGATTTCAAAACAAATTTGAAATTCGTAGAAAAGAAATATTATTAAAATATGCAAAAATTGCGGAAATTATATATTATAAAAATATACAAAAATACACACCGAATTTCTTAAGTTGTTCGTCGCTAACAGGTTTATGCTTATTAAGGCATAAATATTTTCAACTGTAATTAATTTTGTTGTAAAAGGAAATTTCAAAATTTCTGCATTGTTAACATTGCTTTTAATACGCTATTCATTTTAATATTAATTTTTTAATAAATATTTAAATTTACACAAAATTTAGTTTGCCTTGAATTTTAGGCACATACGTAAGGCTTGTTAATTATGAAAACAATATTTGACAGATTGCAACAGTGATGCCAACATATCAGTTAGAGACTTTAGCAAGAGACTTGTTATAAAGCAAGACAAAAGAAGATTTCAATACAAAATTCGAGAAATTTATTTTCAGCGCTCTTAATAAACCAAAACTAAACTATTAATAAACTATTAATTATTATAATTAACTAACTATCATTGCCCACGTCTATCGAAGTGCAAAATGGACCGATTAAACGGATAATTAAACAGCAATGAAGAGCTAATGATGACTTGCAGTCTCTATGCAAATATCAAATTCTCTACATAAATGATATGAAGTGATATCTTAATAAATATAGTATCTTAATATCTTAATAAAACAAATGGTTTCAACAAAGCCAATGTTTTGCATTTGCTAAACTAAATAAAAGCAATTTCTTCGCCGTATTTAGTTCCGGATCTCACTTTTGATTTTATTTTATATATGTATATGTGTATATAGGTATGCATAAAGTGGATATATGCAAGCATTTTTTGTGTCAATGTCGCGTTAATATTTACTTCAAATGTTTTTATCTTGGCTCGTCAGAATATCTAATAAAACATATCGTTTTAGAAAATGATTGCAGTTATTGTCAGCAGTTTGTCAGCAGTTTGTCAGCAATTATTTCACTTATTATCAATAAACGAAATATAATTGAAAACTTAAAATTCGCTTTCACTTCTAGTTTTTAAACATGTTTAAGGTTGTTTTCCGGACGCGCAGTACATGAAGGTCTGCTTTACATATATACACCCATGCTCACAACATGAGAGCGAAGTTTTTTCTTGACTTATTCACCTGCGTATTTTCACATTCCATTTTTACAAAAAGTATTTTATTTCATACTTTCAAATCTGTTAGCTTTGTAAATATTGAGTTTGATGCTTATCGTTTGAATGTCATACATAATAGGTTTTTTCCTTTTTTTACTCGTGATTATTTTATACTGGTGACTTACATATGTATATAAATGTGTATTTTCGATCACATTTTTAAGAAACCAATGAATTACTTCGAAAGTTTCTTTCTTAATGGATAAAGAAACTACTTATGGGATCAGCAGACTCCGAGAAGTGTGCAAATAGAAGAATCAGTAATTTTACAAACAGCTGGCTGTATGAATAATTTATAGATTGGTGAAAGTTTGTGAAGATTTGTTTGTCATTTTACTGTTGTTTTTATCAAAGGAATAAAAAGATGACACAAAAAGCATGCGGATGTGCGAGTATGTGGTTATGTAAATGGAAGCATACGAGCATCTGCTCGCACATACGTATGCATATAAATCTTATAACTGGTCGACAATAGCACAGATATGGCAAACCTATAAAGAACAGGTATTTGGTTGGTGTTTCAGTTTTTGCTTAATATTATTATTTTGCTGTTTTGTTGTAGCAATTTTTTATATTGAGCAATCATATTAAAATAAAAGTTATATCTCTCTTGGTATGCTGAAAACTTGCATTCCATATTAAGAAAGTTTATATTATTTATAAATAGTCATGTTCTTTGAGTCTAGTTATCTGCAATAAAATGAAGAACAAGTCTTTTTTTATATTTATATTTACATTTATATTTATATTTATATGAATGTTATTAACGCTTTGTTTTTCTGTTGAGCATTAATATTCAGTATTTGAGCAGTTCTACAGTACAATGAGAATAATGATATTTTACGTTTGCAACGGCGAACCGCTATTTCTCTAACATTTGCTGTTACCGCTGAGTTGTGTGGATTTCTACTTGAAGTGAATTAAGTATTTAAAGGCAAATGCAAATCAGTTTCTTTGTACACAGAAAAAGCTGATAATATAACAGAAACAGAGCAAAAACACATATCCATTTCTGATTTACTGATACTCTACTGCAGCGTCAATAACTGTTCATTCGATTCGGTTTAAGATTTTCTGCATGCAGACTAGTGTAATGCGACAGCACATACACAACTACATGCATACATATGCATTCATGCTTGGGCTATGTGTGTAGAACAGAGAAATAATGCAAGCAGTAGAGGAAACTCCAATTTCGTTTTTTATAAATCATTCAATCAAGAACACTACAGAATAAAATTGTAACCCAAGACCATGTACAGGTGAATTGTTGTGTTGGTGTCTTTCACTTATTATCAATGTATGAACAATGTACCAGAAATTGTTGTAAAAGAATGTAAAAAAAATGTAAATTATATTAATCATTTAAAATTTGTAAAGACTAATGCTTTAAGTTAACTTTGCATCAAATTAATTTTGCTAACCACGGTTAATTAATGCAAGATTATGTTAATGTATATTATAGACATAAAAAACTACCTGAAAATTAGCTATGTGAACTAAGAATCGAGTTTATACTTACCATATAATTGTGCATGACATAATTGCAATAACAATGAAAGCAAGACCGATATTAAAGGACAGTATATACGAGACCAATTTGCATGGAATCCTGACTTTCTGACAGTAGTCCTCATGATCGTCGGATGGGGGATTCGTTCACGTGGTTGCAACATTTTTGTTTTTTTACTAGAACCTTAAATTTACTTCAAATCTATACCCGAGAATAGAAACTAATATATATAAATATGCACCAAAAATATTTTTGTAATATTCATAATCTCTATTACTGAGATATGTAGTTAAATTCAGATATTTTCTTTTAAGATTTAAATAAAATTGCAAAACATCATCAAATTTTTATTGTAAGTAAGAATTAAACATATTTTGTGTCATTATACATTTAAGACGATTTATTAATAAGACCGAATGTATACAGAGAACACGCACCCTTTTCTATTATTTTATTTAATACAAAAACTTCGCATAATAAACTGAGCTTAATCATTTGACTTTTAAATTTGCGCGTATTTAAAGTTGCCAATAACCACGATCATACTTGGTAAAGGAAAGTTTCACTACTGCGCGTGCAGAACTGACTCGAGAGGTGGTGACTCCCAGTTGAAATCATTAAAAACAGGTAAGAAGACGCATCAAACCAACTTAGCCAACTTGTACACGATTGTCTTTCGTTACTCGTAGCAAATAACGGCTAACATAAATATTTCAAGTTGGACAAGTTTTTATAAGAAACTGTGAGAAACACAGACTATACATTTAGCATGTATTTATGCATTAGTATATTATATATGTACACACATATAAGTATATAAATGTATATGTATCTAACAAATTTCACCTGTAGCTCAGAACACTACAATTATTTCTTGTAACCAAGAATTGTTTTCAGATAAGTATTCTTAATCTTTCGTACTTTAATAAAAATAAATCAAGTTCACTATTTCTCATAAGCTAAACAAATTAACAAATTAATCCAGAGTTTAAGCCGAGCTTTAAATGATTCATGCAATGTATTAAAGCAACAAATTGAATGTTATCCAATCGTTAATGTGGCCGAAATGCGATGTCCATTAATAGATTTCTGTAGGTAAACAATAGGTATATGCTTTTCGATGTTGAATGTCCAAATAAAACAAAAAACTAACTTTGAAAACGAAGATAAATAAAGCGCAAGTTCGTCAACTGATGAATAGTTTCTCTAAGTTAATCCAAACAAGTTTTTTTCATCTCTTCAAATATTTGATTTTCTAAGATCATCATCGTGTTAAAATGAGATGATTTTTAGAAGTTAAAAGTACTTTCCGTAAACACAATCGCGTATAGTCTCATCTTTTCAAAATGCATAGAATTATTTTTAATCATTTTGATGTTAAATTAATCTAGATTTTAAAACAAAATTAGATAATTTTAATCTTAATTCGTTTCATAGCATAATATAACATAATATACATAGCATTTAATTCCTAACGCCTACAATAACATATATGTATATATTGCTATAATAATTTTTTAAAATTATGTGATTATGTGATTAGTATGCTAAGTCCATTTGTATATCTAGTTTATTCATTTTTAATATTTCTACTTATTTATAATTTTTTTTTAATGCATTGTTTATTAATTGATATAGTTTGTAGAAAGCGTTTTATTTAATATGGTCCTGCGCTAAACGATACCGGAAACTGCTGGAAGATTATTGTGTACTTTATAGCATTATTTATTTTTTATCACTAGTAGCAGCTTCTTTACTTTTAGATAATGAAATTTTATACTAGCCTATTTAATTTCTTAGACATATATATAATTTGTAGCCTGTTCACACTAGGCACTTTGCGAACGTTTTGCACCGTAGAGTCGCCAAGCATGGAGGAGACAAAGAATTCATATTGCGGATGGTAAGCAACTATGGTATGTTCTTCGTAATATTAACATAAGTATACTCAACATATAATAAATAAATAAGATTTAATTGATAAAATCTGTAGTTTTACCTAAAAAACTTAATTTTTGTATAAGAGCTGATATAAACTTTTGAAGGAGAGACTTCTGATCTTTGAAGAAAAGTTTCGTTATAAAAAATTAATATATTTGCTATAAATGTTGATTTTCTTAGACCAAAACTTAGTTTTAAAGGGAATGAAAAAATTTAATTTTAAATGGCAGGTGGTATTAACCCTTGAGATAGCGTTTTGTAATATACAAATAAAAGTTTTACGTAAAAGAATAATATTTGTAGATCCTAGGTATTAGCCCTATCTGGTTTTAACCAGATTATAAAGATACTTTTATAAGTGGATTGTGTCAAGATTTCGACAAAAATGGTTGCAATTTATTAGAGAAAGTTGGAGTTTTGGAAAATAATATTAGCTGTAGAATTATTTTACTGAACTGGTGAAAATTTGTCTTTTACAACGATTCACAAAAACATCTATTACAGTGTGAATTGTCTCATAAGAAAAGGCTTCTAATCAAAAACTAATAAAAATTCCGCTTGCGGTATTACGTCTGGAAATCGAATGGATCGAAAGAAAATTGTTTAATGTGAGATTTTATAAGTTTGAAATTTTCTATCAAAATAATAATTTAAAATACATAGGGAACACAAAATTATTATTCAAATAAATTAAATTATTCTTTATTATTATGAAAATATAGTTTTAGTAAAATTACGGATCAGTAACTAAAAACGAATAAAAAGTCGTACTGAAACTTAAAAATTGAGTTTTTTAAGACAAAGCCCTGCTAAAATAGCGTGTTCTAAACCAATTACAGAAACAGTCAAACTGTCAAAATAAATTAAATAATGTTTTGAGTTGAATATTATGTTAAACTTTATGTTTTCCACTTTTCAGAAAAAACGAATAAATTTTTTATGGTTATGCATACCGCATAGATCTCCATTGTTTATTACAATTGTCTTAAGACACTAGATTATACTTAAAAATGCTTAGTGAGTATAAAATAAATCCAACCAATTTTTAAATTTATATCAGCTTATTGTAATGTGCTTGTATTCAATTTTTATTAGAGTAGGATATATGGGAGTCAGTTGGTTGAATCGCTTTTTCAGCGTTATTTATTTTTATCAAATGGACCGCACGTTGTAGAGTGGTCTCGGATGCAGAGTGTCTCGGGCACGGCAAATACGCTTTTTCGGCATAGTGCCGAAAATCCATGTTATGCAGAGTGTCACATCAGTGTTGCCAATTTCGTATTTTTACTACTTTTTGGTTGTGCCTAAATTTAAAAGGAAATATATACATGCTTACTTGTTTGATTTTTGCTTACAATTATTTGCAAGCAATTTCAAAAATGAGTCAATCCAAGAAGTATCAAATAATGGCTTTCAAAATTATGCAATCACTTAACGATTATGTGGACCGCATAGTCTTTTGGAAGGCAGATGATACTCTTCTAATCAAAGAATGTTTAAATTTTGTAAAAATGCTACAGCAGAAACAACATCCGAAAAGGTTGTGTGCGGAGAAGTTGTGGCGGAATGACAGGAGAATTCACTGTTCGTATGCATTTGTGTCTAATGAACTGCGCCTGTTAGACACAAATGCATACAACAACTTCTACAGGATGTCCAGCGATACATTTAAATTGTTACAGCTTGTAGAAAAAGATCTACAAAAGTTGGACACAAACGCGCGAAATACTATTTCTTCTGCAGAGCAATTATCCGTGACACTACGATTTTTAGCAACTGGGGAAAGTAACAAAAGTTTAGGATATTAAACTAGGTTATCGCACTCCTATTTGGTATATTGTAGGTATACCAAACGTATGCCGCACAATTTAAAGAACAGTTATTTAAAGGTGAATATTTTACTTTGTATATTATAAACATGAGTAATATGTACAATATATACAATTGTCTAATCTGAATTATTTATATATTTAATATTTACAAAGCTTTTGACTTAACCATTATATACAATATTTACAATGTTTTGGACTTAAAAATTGATATGTGCAATATTTACAATTTGTGGCTACATGTCTTCCTCGTCCAGAACACCAACTACAGCTTCTGCCAATATGTCTGAATGTCTGGTTTGTGGTACTGTGGTACTTTCGGCTAGATCTTTTGCTGCAAACGTCATTGTAACCTCTTGTACTTTAGTAATAGCCTCCATAACGATGTTTTTGTTCGCCATTTCATTTAAAGTAGCCACCACCTGCTCTTCAAGCCATTCATACTTCCTGTTTGATCTGCTTTCTACTTTATGCAAAAGTGTTTCATAGTTGTTGTCCAAATTATTTTTCCGTTTTTCAGACTTTTGTGAAGAACTAGGCATCTGAAATGAAATATAGTAATAGTACAAATATACAAATAATCAAATACACACTTTAACTTTAATATTATTTCCATTGCAGTTTCCCACCACAATTCAACAGTGGAAATCAATTGCTAAAGATTTTGAACAAAAATGGTAATTTCCACTATGTCTTGGGGCATTAGATGGTAAGCACGTTGAATTTAATGCACAAGCATCAGATGGTTCTTATTACCGAAATTATAAAGGAAGAGATAGTATAATACTGTTGGCATTAACAGATGCAAATTGTAAATTATTTACATAGACGTCGGCGCTAACGGTAGAACAAACGAGAGCGCAGTATTGAAAAATTCGTCTCTTCAAAGAATATTGGATAATGCTGCAGCTCATTCCCCACCAGATGAAGTAATAGGAAACAACAGATTGTTGCCATATGTTGTTGTGGGTGATGGTGCTTTTGCTCTTCATTGACACCTTATAAAACCATTTTCACACAGAACTAATATAGTAAAGAGGCAAATTTTTAATAAACGACTTTCAAGAGCCAGGCAAGTTGTAGAACGGTCATTTGGAATTTTGTCGTCCAGATTTGGAGTGTTTCAAAAACCGATAAATATGAAAAATGTGGAAAATATTGAAACCATTACTCTGGCATGCTGTGTACTGCATAATTTTCTTATGGATAGCTCCTTGCAGTACGCTAATTTTGAGTGCCCTTCAAATCCTTAAACATGCGAAGAAAGTTCGAATATTTATGCACCATTTGAGGGTGTTCGAACCGAAATAATGGAATATTTTAACAATGAAGGAAAATTGCACTGGATGGAAATGTGATTTATTTAAAATGCAATTTACTTACTGAATCTGGTTGAGTAGGACTTAGAAATTCATCCTCCACCGTCTAGCTCTATTAAAAAAGAAATTTGTAGTATATTAAACAATATTTGCATATATTTTGTTTAAAATAAATATAATTGTTACTTAATATCTATTACTTTTTGATTTTTCACACGAATGTCATTACTAAAAAAAAATATTATTCATGAGCATATTTGTAAATTTTGAAAAATATTAACAAATTTAAATAGTTAATAATGTAATGATATTTATAAAAGAAATAAATCGAAAAATTTATATTTATAATTATATTTATGGTGTAATTTTTACTTATTTTGTTCTGAATATATAATATACAATCATATGCAAAAGCTAGACTGATTTTACATTTTATTTTTAATTTTTATTTTATTTTATATATATTATATAATATATATCTGGTATATATTAGTATGTTGTATGT